AAATATCAAGTGTGTCAATCGGGCGTTTGTACCGATGCAGTCGCGTGCTTGCATCGCTGCTTAAAATCGCGCGTGTATTTAAAGATAGACGATTAGCAACTGCATCGCGTTTGCATCGCTGCTAGCATGTATAACCGATCTAACAGATACAAATTAATTTGTGGATTCGTACGTGACTTTTCAGAGGGTAGATAAGTTTTCAGATAAAAAGTACCTACCTAGGTAGGTACCTACCTACATAACAATTTAGTGCATCTTTGACCTGACTACGAGCAAATAAAGTCACTTACATAGCATTAATGGAATCCAGTTCGCTGTGCTTGGCGTTAATACAGCAGAATCTCGGCCATATGTTCCAAGCACGTAGCACCGCATGTAATCCGCTAGCGCGACGTTCAATCTGTTCTTCACTCACTAACCGCTGCTGCACAACTTTAACTACTACGTGCTAAAGTCAATGGAAAACTTTACTAGATACATTCAACCTGTACATGACAGTCGTTTTGTAAACTAGCAGATAGTGGTCACTGCAGATTTATCAATCTTTCAATTTGATAAGGTTTGGTAAAGGTAGGTAATTATTGATCAGAAAGTAGGCACGTAAGAGTAAAAAGTGATACTGCCTCAATAGGCCAATGACTGCCTCAATAAGCTAGGACTTAAGACAACGTAGCTTATCGAATAAACGACGATCTCTTAGATATTTGAGCGCGCAATAAAAGTACCCATGATTTAAAAAAATCTCTATGAAATAATGTTACTGACAAAGTAACCTTTTAATTAGAAGGGAATTTAATAAACGCGAACAAAGGTACGGAAATACATAAACCTAAGTAAAATTAACAAGGTCTTTCTGAATTTTATATCTTCGCGTCATAACGTAAATTAAATTTCTCAGTCATAAAAAAAGACTTGAAAATTTCACAAAGTGGCAAAAACACCTGGTGCAAATTAAGATACGAGAGGAACCAACCCATTGATGACATAAATACCATTTGTCGCGAGTGTTTTACTCTTCATAAAAACCTACTCATACTACTGGACACAGATTTCCTTTAAAAAACGATATAATTAGACGTACCTACACCATAGTAGAGGTAGCTAGCCAGTTGCCTAATTTTGAAAATGTGTCTCAATATTCAATTCATCATACAGTTAATAAAATGCTGAATCACGAATCTGAATGAGCAACTCCTTCCAGTCCATTTCACTTTTATTTTGAAACTTCCAATTCGATGGATCGAGCGATTGAACCTATTACGAATAACTTTATCCACTGGTGTGTGAACGGGAAAAATATTCTGAAAATCTGCTTCTCGACAGGTATTAGAAATATTAAAATTATAAAGCAAGTCTCGAAGGCGAGGCAACTTGAAGAATATTCAAATAGGTACCAAAGTGCCTATTTCCCAGCTTACGTGCATTAAATTTTATCTATCTACGCGAATAGAGTAAGGCACAGTACATTGAGACATGATGCAGACGAAACTTTTAACACAGGTACCTACTCGTAGTTTATTTAGTAGCGATGGAGCTCCTTGTGAAAGAGTTCGTCCAGGGAAAAATTACTGCCACCTTACCTATTTCCGTCGCCAAGCAATAATTTGATCATTACTGCGTTCCAGTTTTGAAGGGTGCTGGTGAAATATCAGGCACTTGGGAACTTAATGTCTCAGGGTGACAGGCGCAGTGTCAGTGCCCCACAGATCATTGTGATTTAAATCTCTGAGTGGCACCAGCTGTCCCGTCACTTGCTATCTTAGAATAGAATTGGAAAATTTGTAAGAGCTCAATAGTCGTGCCCGTAGCAAACCGTCAATTTCATTAGCAAACTTCTATCTTATCATAATATTAAGAGAGAATAACTCGTAATACGTACATACACTTCACGCACCTTTTCCACAGTGAAAGCAGTTTCTACTTGCTACGAACCTGACACACATCTTTCGCCTCATCAACACATTATCAATGTTTTTATACATTCTCGTCGAATAAAGGTATTCTGGACCTGACCTGTCACAACTCAGCTACGATAACAAACAACGAATTGTGTTTGTAATTCCTAACTACTATTACAAATGTGTTTAATACCTATGCCATTTGTGAAAGTGGTGCCATTTTTATAGCTTTGAAAATACTACGTTTCGCTAGCGGGACTATATTTACGTACAGGTTCAATTGTCCCTAGATGAGCTTGGATCAGAAACAAAGTAGGTGCTTATAATTTGATTTTGAGTAGATCCCACCCTATGTATGAGATCAAAGACCATTGAAAGCGTATTGACGTTTTACTACGTATTCCTCATATATAGATGCTTCTTTCTGCCTGTCTCAATACTTTCATAATCATAAAGATCATGAGTCCCAATCTTAAGTCTAAGGTCCCAATGCATGAGAGTCGTATACAGTCGCTTCTTTCTGCCTGCGTCATACATAACATTCTTAATCATAAATATGTACAGATTCTCATTGTAGACACTTCTGTATTCCGTAAGTAACATTTTGAACCAAAAACCGACAATAATAGGTATAACTAAATTCGCAAAATTACAAAAATTAGCGTTCACTATAAATGGGCAATGCAGTCAACAGCGAGACGTCAACAAGATCAAATTACGGCGCAATCAATAATAATTTATTATTGGCGTCGCAAGGTGGTGGAACAGCCATCATTACAGTGACAATTTGAGGGGAGTTTAACGTTAACGGTAATGACACTTCACCCCGCGCCCCCGCGTCAAATCTGCGTGTAATCGCCTTCCCCCGCGCCCGCCCGCGTCTTTAGGCCCCGATGAATATTCATGCCGCGATCGACGTTCGCCTTCCCTTTATTCACTGTAAACACGTGTACGTGTCCTTTCAAGCCTGTCTTGCATTACGTAAATGTCTAATTTATTTCTGCTAAACCAAAACGTTGCCTGCTGTTTCGAAATATAGAAAACTATAAGCCATTTATCTACCTATACAAATAATTCTTAAATGTCTGCGAGATTTTTAAAGTGAACTAACTAGCAAAACGAATAAAATTTACCTACTGTGGTGACCCGATAAAAGTGTATTAAAATTTTAGTACGACTATGGTTAAAACCCGCCTTTGGGGATCACTCTGCACATCACAAGTTTGTGCAGTTCGGACTTACATTGGTACCTTTTTCCATTCTCTATGATTGGTACGACAGATTTGTTTACGTAGAACTGTAACAGCTAAATGGTTAAAAAAAAACAATGGTGACTTGTCGTATATTTTTAATGGTATTTTCAAACCGTCAAATATTCTGGTGGTCCGTTAACGCCACCTAGGATTTGCAAAACTAAACTGGGCAGTACCTGGTTTTACCTGTCCTTTAATCCGAAACTCAACAACATAATGCTTTGCTGTAAAATAAACAGGACCGTTAATATTGGTGATAGATATACCTACCAATAAAAATACTAAGCACAATACATTTTGCGTCATGTATCGAAGTATACAGATGGACTCCCAGTCAAATTGTGCTGGATTAAAAGTTGTTAGAAAACAGCTATATATAGAGATAGGGTGAAAGATTTATGTACACTTTTGAAGTTAAACTCATGGGAGGCGGAGGAGCAAACCAAACGTATGTAGTACAAAGGTGACTCGTGACGAGGGTACCATCACTCGGGTCGCGATTTGGATTTTCCGAAAGGGCACAAATAGACTTACGTCACTGCCATTTCTAAAGAATACGAAAAAAAAGAGGAATGTTTTTGTTATTACAAAACAGGCGTATAACAACACTTTACATAATCAGCAAACAAAATCTAAACAATAAACTGTAAACTTTTAAAGGAACATACAGTATAGATTTTATTATAAAAATAAACAGATACTTAAATTAAACATTTTGTTGAAGTACAAACGAATCATCTAGTCAATTAATATTTATTTTTTTTATTTACTTTTCTATCAAATCCTATTTCTTTGGCGAAATATAAGACCTTTTACATAGTCATGATTATTAATTAATACTTGTAAATGGATCATATTTATCATATAAAATCTTGTGTATCTTATATAATTTAACAACACTAGGTATTAACAAACATGTAACACAATCTCATTATAAATAAATGTAAATATCATGTTAAAACTTAAAATTAAAATTTACCTTAACATAATATCGCACATAATTTTGGAATGCATACTTATTCTAAGTTTTATGAATTAGATATTCTAAGTTTTATGAATTAGATATTCTAAGTTTTATGAATTAGATATTACATTGTTATTATGCGATGCTCTCTATTTGTAAGTGAAGAAAATAATTGATTTTAAAATTATTTATTATATATGGTCAAGAATTTAGTATTGCACAAACTATTATAGACAATATATAGACGTAGATATTACAAAAGACTAAAAATATTATTTCTAATATTGCAACGATAGTATATTCGGCTAGGAGCTTGACCGAGTAGCCGAATATTCTGCTATTTATTAACTATTCGACCTGATTAACATAAATACAACCACAGTTATATATAATAAATAATTTTGTAGAATGAAACAAAGAAGGTAATTTAATTTTAAAATTTATAATTTAAATTCATGACGTCTTAATGAAGAAAGTAATCATTTCATTTCAGTTCAGATTAACTTTCAAAAAATTTAATTTTATTATGATTTGCAAATAATAATTACTTGGTTGATTTTATTAGATTTTATTCAGTCATGACTAATAACTACGTAATACTACTATATGTACCTAAGCAGTTTTCATTTGATTTCTTACGTTTTTAATTTCTTTGAAAAATTCAATTATGTTACATTTTCTTTGATCGTTTACACATATAAGCGAAAAATTGTGCTTTTCCGAACTTGCAATTATGTTCAACGTTAATATTATCATGTAGATAATTTATTGTGCTTTTTTCTTATTTCTTCCTACTATTTTTAGTTATTCGGCTCACTAGTGATTGATTAAATATTCGATATTCGGCCGAATAGCCAAAAATAAGCCGAATACCGAATACTCGTTTCAACTCTACTTATTTCATTTCACTAGCTGCCTAATTTTACTAAATTATTGAAATTAATAAACTTTCTTATCGCTAAGATCATTAGTTGTACTAACCCTGACTTTACTTAGATTAAAGTTTAAAAAATAATAGTAATAACAAATCCAGAAATAGAAAACTCCTAAAGAGCAATATACAGATGTAAGCATTAGTGGTAAAAACGGCAAAGTTTTGTCTAACCCTAACGAAGAATGTATTCCGGTTTCATATACACATAAACAAATCAATCCATAGATGTATAAAGTTTCTAAACGCCCTAACATAGGCAAGCGCAGCACCCTTCGCTTCTTACTAGCTTTCATTTTAGGGTTCACGTACAAAGCTGGAATGTTACCAAACGCAATCGCGCAATGTGTAAGTAGCATGAATATTTTGATTGCTATAAGATTTTTCGGATAAAGCAGAGGGAATAATGAATAATGTCCTACTGTTGATATGATTAGGAATAATTTACCATCCACGTCACCTAACACGGAGAGGAGGCTGAAACAAAGACGTAAATGTTTTAATAGCTTTACATGGATATCAATTTTTATATTTTTACTACATTAAAATATAGCATTTTTTTCGTATTTTGACAATCTTAACACTGAAAATTATCTTATAAATGGAACTGCTATTGTAAGGTTCACAAGTTACTCCACGGCCATACATTGTTGTACGGCCGTGGAGTGGCCGCTGCGCTGGTAGTAATCAACATTTGAGTTGTCTAACTAAAATTCTTCAAAATTTTACATGACGACACGAAGCTACGTTTACAACTTGAAACTGTACTACTAAAGCATCGTTTTGGTATATAACAAATAATTTAAAAAATACCGTATATTGTAATAAAAAAATATAGTTAATACATACTAAGATAATACACTATGATTAAACACCACT